ACCCGTGGGTGACACCGCCATGTGCACAGGGCGCAGGGACCCGCGGGGGACACCCCCACGTGCACAGGGGGCAGGGACCCGCGGGTGACACCCCCACGTGCACAGGGGGCAGGGACCCGTGGGTGACACCGCCACGTGCACAGGGTGCAGGGACCCGTGGGTGACACCCCCACGTGCACAGGGGGCAGGGACCCACGGGTGACGCCCCCACGTGCACAGGAGGGCAGGGACCCGCGGGTGACACCCCCACATGCACAGGGCGCAGGCACCCGCGGGTGACACCCCCACGTGCACAGGGCGCAGGGACCCGCGGGGGACGCCCCCACGTGCACAAGGGGCAGGGACCCGTGGGTGACGCCCCCACATGCACAGGGCGCAGGGACCCGCAGGGGACATCCCCACGTGCATGGGGCACAGGGACCCATGGGTGACGCCACTGTGTGCACAGGGCGCAGGGACCCGCGGGGGACGCCCCCACGTGCACGGGGCGCAGGGACCCGTGGGGGACGCCGTGCTCACGCGCTCCACGCGCAGCTCCCGCGCGGCGCTCACGGCGCCCGCCTGCCGGTGCAGCCCCAGCTCCAGCAGCGTCCCCAGGCGCAGCTCGGCCGGGCCCGGCGCCAGCGGCTGCTGCAGCAGCGCCTGCACCTCGGCCCAGTGCCTGCCGGGGGCTGCGTCACCGCCGGGCCCTGGCACCCCGGGCCCTGGCATCCCTGTTCCTTGGCACCTCATCCCCTGGCACCCTCTGTCCCCTGGCACCCCTATACCCTGGCACCCCATCCCCTGGCACCCTGTCCCCTGGCACCCCATCTCCTGGCACCACCAGCCCCCAGCACCCTCTGTCCCCTGGCACCCCATCCCTTGGCACCCCTGTTCCCTGGCACCTCATCCCCTGACGCCCTGTCCCCTGGCACCCTCAATCTCCTGGCACCCCCTGGTCCCTGGCACCGCTTGCCCCTGGCACCCCATCTCCTGGCACTGCCGTCCCTTGGCACCCCGGCCCCTGACACCTCATCCACTGACACCCTGTCCCCTGGCACCCCCAATCCCCTGGCACCCCCTGGTCCCTGGCACCCCATCTCCTGGCACCGCCGTCCCTTGGCACAGCCATCCCCTGGCACCCCGTCCTCTGGCACCTCCCGTCACCCCCGCGGACCTTCAACACCCCACAGCCCCATTCGCCCCTCAGTGTTACTCAGTGGGGCTGGCACCTCCTGTCACCCCCTGCCACCCCACCTTGCCCTGCCCTGCTGTCACCCCCCCGTTGCCACCTCCCACCCATCCTGGTGCTCCCTGCTCCTCCCTGTCACCTCCCGCCACCCCTTGTCACCTCCCCTCCTCCCTGCCCGCTCTGGTCACATCTCGGTCCCCAATACCCAGGTCCCGCAGTCACCTCATGCCAACCCTGCCCCCTGTGTCAGCGGTGTCCCCACCCGCTCCCAGTGTCACCCTCGGCGCCCCCGTCACCCCGCCATGTCCCCGTCACCTGGGCCGCATGGCGGGGCTGCGCAGGTCGCACACGAGCGGCACCGTGCGCCGGAAGGCGTCGAGCAGCGTCGCCGTGGCCTCCACCACGTCCCAGCGGCGGCCCTGGGCGCAGGGGGGCGCAGGGGGGCGCTGGGG